GCATACTTGATGAAATGTATCAATACTGTTCTACTGTTTCTGAGTTAGGAACACCAATCATTTCTTGTTTTTGTGGTTCTTTAGTCACTGGACAGTAGACTTCACAGTCCCTATAATTATGTGAGCCACTCTCTCCTAATAATTCTCTTCCTATCCAGATAAGGAGGTAGACAGGTAGACAGACAGAAACACATTAACACAGACAGACAGATATTTCTTTTTGGTTCTGTTTCTTTGGGGAACTCTAACACAGTACCTCATAAAATCTGTGAACTAACAATCTAAAGTCCCCCCATCAGCTGGCTGAATAGACCCTCTCATGGCCAAGGGGATCCCCTCAAACTGAGTGGCTAGCCCTGAGAAGGGAGGTAGGCAAGCCTTATCATGTCCCCCTCCCTTCTTGGGGACATCCTTTGTGACTTATTAACAGGCTTAAGGCTCTGCAAGACCCACCTGTGGGTCCTCAATATACACTGCAAATTACTTGAGTCTGGGTGTAGGTCTGGTGGCTTGTCTCTAACTGACAGAACTTTATCTTTATTTAAAGAATTCCAACTCTTAGTTTAGACAAAGCTTCATTTCTTTAATTATAAATCAAAGAGTCTTTAAACCACCTGTAACTCATAAGCCCCCACTTTGAGATGTCCACAAACCAATACATGCCTTTTGGGTATTAATTTACAACTTAACAAGTAATCCCTGTCTCCCTGAAATGCATAAGACCAAACTGTAACCCTACTACAGTGAGTCCACATGCTCAAAGCTTCTGGGGCATGACTCAAACCTCTTTAAAATAAACCTCTTTACTTTCTTTTCTGTCGACAATAACAGACATAAAAGTGAATTTAAATGTTTCTTCTGTTGACTGATTTCAAATGTCCAAATATTCTGAGAAGATAAAAATATATACAGACAGCTATATTTCCAACAGTATTTCGGTTCTACAAGGGCTATTTTTTACCTGTGTGTGGAAAATTGCATTTTCAGATGAGTTCATGTGA